CCTCCCCTACCACCTACATGTCACCTCAGGGGGGCTGCTGCCCGCCAAGGAGCCTCCATGTGTCTCCCAGCCTCGGGGGCAGGCCCGGCTCCCTCCAGGGGTGGCACCACCGTGCCCCATTCCCAGGGAAGTCTTTGTGGGTTCACCTGTCACTCGCCTGTTGTGTGGGGTGAGGGATCAGTTGGAGGAGACCAGGGTCCTAGATACAGGGCTCGGTGGGTAAGAGGGAGGGGTTCTTATCACTGCGAGGAGGCCCAGGCTGGTCTCCTGCAGGCCAGTCCCTGGGGTGGGCCAGGTCAGTGGATGCCGAGACTTGGGCCAGAACAGGCTGTTCTGGTGACAGGGCGGTCAGGTGGGAGATGCAGAGCTGACCCAAGTCCCAGCCCAAGTCCCAGCCCGCATCTCACCCGGAGCCTCTGTGCGGGTGGAAGCTGGCTGGCTCGGCCGGAAGGCTCGGAGGCAAGTCCAGTTTGTGCTTCCTTAGCCCCCAACACAGACGCACAGTCACTGTTCCTCTCTCCTTCCCTCCAAGGCACGTCAAAGCTGAGCAGGCCGGCCCTGCCCGGGCGCTGTCTGCCCTCACCTGGGCGCCTCAGCCCCTGGCCCCACGGCCCTCTTTCCCCTGCCCTGTTCCTGGCTCCCAGCCCTCGGCCACCCCTGGCAGCCAGGCCCCGCCAAGGCCAGGCTGTTTTGGAAAAATGCTGGGAGGTGGCAGAATGTGCGGTCTTCGAGTTCCCTCCGAACTGGCGCCCCGATCCCTGGACAAACAGCGGCGTGTTTGCCGTCCACAAGGGCCTGTGTTCTCCTTCCAGGCCAGGAGATCCCGGGCAGCCAGCGTGTGGGGGGCGGGCAGGCGGCAGGCGGACGTCACGGCCCGCGGCCCAGGGGAGAGAGGCACGGACAGGCCGGGTGATGACAGGCCTGCCACCCGCCGGCGGCCCTCCCACCCTGCGGCGGGCGGTCAGACCCAGGGCAGCCCGAGGACCCGCTTCCTTTCCCTCTGCTGCCACAGGGACATTCCACAGGAGGTGGAATTCACACTCTGAGGAACGACTGCCTTCCGCCGGCGCCCTCCCCGCCCGGGGGAAGCTCGGGTGTGTCATGCCGCCCAGCACTGACCCTGGAGACCCCGTCTGAGGGGGCCCCTCCAAGTGGGCACGGGCGGGGTCAGGTGGTCTGCTTCTGGTGCAGGGACGCCCCTTCGGTTCTGTGAGGCCATGGGGAAGTCTCTGTCACTCTGAGACTCTATCCTATGGAAAAAGGAGGACTCTCCAGGCTGGTGTGGCTCAGTGGTTGAGCACTGACCTATGCACCAGGAGGTCATGGTTCAATTCCTGGTCAGGGCACATGCCCAGGTTGTGGGCTCGATCCCCAGTGGGGGGGGGCGTGCAGGAGGCAGCCGATCAAAGATTCTCTCTCATCATTGATGTTTCTATCTCTCTCTTCCTCTCTGAAATCAATAATAAAAATATATATTTTTTAAAAAACAGTTTTAAAAAATAATAGTAGTAATAAAAGAAAACGAAGGACTCACCTTGCTCCCTCCCCTCCCCCTGGGGAGGGCAGGCAGGGTGGGGGTAGTGTAGGTCTAGGATTCAGGGCCTGGGTGTGGGGGGGGGGGGCAGGTGAGGCAGAAGGTGGCACAGGGCAGAGGATGGGGGACAGGCCTGCTGAGTGCCCGGCCCTGATGGCATTCTTCGGAACGTGCTGGTGTTTCTCTTTTGGGTAGCAAGGCTCTGCGACCAGGTGGAGAGAGGCCCTGCGACCTGGGCTGTGTCTGCGCCTGGGGCCTCTGAGCCGAGACTGAGTCTGACAGACTGAACCGAAAAGACCTGTTGCAGCCACAGAAGGCCTTTCTCAGGCCAGCTCAGAGCCTTCCCTGAGCACAGCCTGGGGACGACACCGGGCGTGGCAGAGGCTGGACCAGCCTGGGCACTGAGGCCTGGCACCCTGCTTCCTGGTGCAGTTCTGGGGTCTCGGCTCTGCCTCCTCACCCGTGGCCCCTCAATCCCGGGAGCCACCCTGGATGTCCCTTGTCTCGGGGCTGACGGCCGTGCCCTGGGCTGGTCTCGCCTTCCTCCTCTGTGACAGGTTGCTGAGCAGCCCTTCACAGTTGGTAATCGGCAGAGAGCACCCGGTTTGTCATCGCATGGGCTTGGGGGCCCGTCGCGGTGCCCACTCCACACCACACTGCCCTTTAGTGTGCCGTTCTCGGGCACACGGTCCTGAAAGGTCCCACAGAGAGGGGATCTGACCACCTGTTTAACCCCTTCCTCAAACTTATGTAACCGGGGAGCCTATTTGCTCCGTGGAACAGCCTCTGAAACGTGCCTCATGTGACACGAGGCTGGAGTCAGGGGAACTGAATTCTGCTCAGTCCGCCATGTGGCTGTGGACATCCCTCTCCACACGGTGGACGGTGAGGGCAGGCCCTGAGCACCCCGGGTTGCCGTGTCCGGCACTGAGACGCCTGACCCCGGTGATCATGGCCATGGCGGGGGCGCTGGCTCCAGCTGCCTCCTCCCCCACCAGGCCTCGGGGCCAGTGGTGGTCTAATTGCATCTTCCCTTCCCCCCGGGACCCTGCTTGTCGAAGGACCCTGCCTCGGACTGCTCTCCGCCTGCGCACAAGGAATGGCAGGTGAGCTCACAGGACAAATGCTTTCAGAAGAACCCCCTGCCTGGCAGGTGGGATTGGGTGCTGCTGAAGGGAATGGGGGGGGGGGGGTTGTCCCTTTCAGTGAGGCCGAGAAGGCAGAGACCAGAGAGCCAAGCGAGGTGCGTCCCACGGTTTATTACGGAAGCCTATAAAAGAGCCACATGGAGTACTTTCAAAATCACAAAATGCACCACATTCATTTTTTTTTAAATATGCAACATGGAATATTATATACAGATGAAGCCCACGTGACAGCAAAAACACTCACACGGCACCGGTTTCATCTCAAAAACAAAACACACAAGTGCTTTTTCAATATTAAAACAACTGTGATAAAAACATATTAATATTTTGAACCATGTTTACAATAGAGAAAAATTCATATTTTACTAAATAACAAATATTTAACAGCAAAAACTTTATACTAAATATCTATTTTGAATTATAACAAAAATAGTACTTATAATAGTTTATAAAGACAGACACAAAATTATAACATTTATGAAAAAAAAAAAGTTTTGTGTATAAAATAATATCATCGCGATCTGGGCAGGGTCAGGATGGTGCCCAGAGCACAAACGCCAGCGCCCAACTTCGAAAGTGCTTCAGTCTGCAAGCCCGTGGCAGGGAAAGTGTTGTGGGGTTTTGTCTCTTTAACGTCAAGTTACGATCGTTAGGAATGGTAAGTGAGAAAACATCACCCATCTACGCTACGTCTAGAAGACCTACACACAGACACACGGACACCGATGGACGCACAGAGGAGCGATGGATGGACGTCGACATGGGAACTCCTCGCTCAGCCGGTCAAGAGCTTTCTTCCTTCTCTGGTTACCTTTGAGACCCGGTAGGGCAAACGATCCTTCTTTCCTCCTCACAGGGACCCTCCTCAGCCTCCTCTCTGCCCCTCTCCAGCTGGTCACCCCACATGGAAGGTCCACGGAGGCCTTCCAGCGCCCTCCAGCCACCCACCCCCGCCAGGGCCACGCCCAGTGGACTCCCTGCCTGAAGCTGCACCCGTGCAGCCCTAGCTATTCGATCGAGCACGACTGGGCCAGGGCAAGCTGGGTTGGCTTGAAGGGTTAACTTCCGGGCTTTTTGTGGACGGCCAATTCTGGTAGACCATGCAGCTATCCTGCAAGTTCTGATGAGTCTTAACACAGTTTTGCCTGCTTTTCAGAATGCAGAGAAATTGAGAGATTTGACTAATTTTTTTAAATGTCTATGTTTTGCCAATGATATCTGCTCCACGCTCTTTTTAATAATGAAAAAGGTAGAAACCAAATGAGACAATTGAGAACAGGTGGTTCTGAGTGGGGTCCAGAGCGGGAGTGCCATCTGTCCCCTCAACACCATCAGAGGCGGCCACTGAGTGGTCACAGTGGTCGCCTCTTGGAGAGGCAAGCGCATCGACGCCCTGCACCTTCCTCTGGGGGCTGGCTTTCTTGTAAAGAGGATTCATCACTTTTATAGCATCAAAAGCCAATTGAGAAACATAGACAGCAAAGAAAAATCCACAACCAGACAAGATCGCTGAAGACTCATCAAAGGCCCCAAACCAGCCCGGGGGGCGTCCCAAATTGCCGACTCCAAATGCTGGTGGCAGCAGCTACCCCTCTTTCCCCCAGTCACCCCCCGACTGGCCCATTTCCAAGCAAATCACTTCTGACAACTCGCACATGCTCTCCCCAGCTCTCCCCGCAGCCTCCCCGCAGCCCCTCAGGACCGCTGAGGAAGGGCTGCCTTCTAGCTCACCTCCCCTGGCCTTCATCTCGTCCCACACCCCTGAGCTGGGCTAAGCAGACAGTGGCATAGAGGTGGGAAGGGACTTCAAGGACACCTTTCCAAGGCCGAAGGGTGAAGGTTAAGGAAGGGACAATGGAGCCCCTCGCTCCCTGTCAGAGAAAGAACCCGTATCCTTCCCCATACTCACTAGCCAAGTGGGGGCACCCGGGGGGACAGTGACTGTGTGGGAGATGGTGGCAGCCTCCAGGTCCCCATGCTGTGGACAGAGGTGGGGGGTGGGGAGAAGCAGTGGGCCATTCCTCACCTTCAGCTGGGGGGCAAAGGCAGAGGTGCTGGATTTCACCCCAGAAGTGCAGTTGAGGTTGAACCCACAGAAGGTCTGGAGCCTGGGGGAGCGGCTGAACCTCAGCCAGAGAGGGCTGAGTCACTCGCAGAAGTCAGTCCCCGGGCAGCGGGGACGGAGGTTGGGGGATGGAGGAGGTGCAATTCCAGCCCCCAGTAACGCCAAGATTGGGTTAGATCAGTGAATAAATATGAGCCAAGGGCCTGGGAGGGGGGGCGGGGTGTAACAGTGGAGCAGGATGGGCTCAAGGCCAGGAGGTGGGGATGTCATTGCTGTGTGCACGCCCAGGGCCACCAGAGAGGATGCTGGGAGGACAGGGCCTGGAGCTCTTTTGCCCCAACTTCAGAGGAAAGAAAAAAGTAGCAGCAATAGGTAATTTCAAATGTCCAAACTGGCAAAGGGGGGGACTCTAGGCGAACCCCAGGAGGGGCAGGTGCCTGATTCTGAAGAGAGGCAGGAGGGGGCGGGGTGCTGAAGAGCCCAACTCTTCCTCCTGCCCGCCCCCCATGTCGACCACATGACCTCAAACCAATAGGGTCCAAATGAAATGGGCAGGGAGGGATCCATTGGGAACGTGACAAGCAAATGCTGCAGCGTGAGCTGACTGCCATTTAACACTGTAACGGGCATGCGGAGCCCCCGCCATGCCCTGTCCCAGGAGCTAAGCTGGTGGGAACTGGAGAGAGACTGGGAGAAGCAGGAGCCAAAGAACTGGGCCCTTTTGGCTTTGGGTAGGGCTTGCCAGGGAGAGAAAACGGGAGGGCCAGGTATGGGGGCCGCTCCCCTTCCCCGGGCTGCAGCCCCCTCCCACACACAGGTTTGTACCCTTCCATCGCCCCCCACCCCAGGGCCTGGCCGGGCTGAGGCAGGGGTGTGGCCAGGCCCCGTTAGACCGTGGCACTTAGCATGGCCTCCGTCTCGGGCAGGATCTTGTTCTGGTTCGAGTCCAGGCCAAAGAACTTGACACTGAGGCCGTCCACGGGGTGCAGGACAGGGACCAGGGTGATGCGGGGGAAGGTCCGGGTGGCCAGCTCAAAGCGGCTGGTGCTGGCCAGCTCCACCGCCAGCACCTTCAGGAACAGCTTGGCCAGGTGCTTGCCCAGGCAGGTCCGGACTCCGCCGCCGAAGGGGAGGTAATGGAAGCGGCCGTCCTTGTCTTCGCTGCGGGCCTGGCCGAAGCGGTCGGGGTCAAATACGTTCACGTCTTTGAACACAGGCGCCGTGTCGTGAGTATCCCGGATGCTGTACATGACGCTCCATCCTTTGGGGATCTGGAAGCCCTGGAGGCAAGATGGGGAAGGGTGTGGTGGTGAGGCCAGCGGAGATCTGGGAGTGGCCCGGACTCCCTGCCTGCCAGCCCCCGACCCGGATGTGCCCAGAGACACCCTACTGCGATCCCCTGGCCTGGCCAGCACCCTCAGCATGTTGTCTCTTATTTATAGAGTGTCTACATGCAACGTCATATATGACACCCAGGCTGGCTTCGTCTGACCTAGCATTTGGGACGAGGTCTCTCCCATCAGATCGAAAGCTCCTTGAAAACCAGGGGTGTCTCCCCATCAGACTGAAGTACCCCGAGGAGGGGAGTCTGTTCTTTCCCATCAGCCCAAGGCAGTGCTCCCACGGGCCCCCTGAGGCCCACCCGCAGGGGCCCAGGCTCACGTCGAGCTCGAAGGTCTGCAGCACGGTGCGGTAGCCGCCGGAAATGGGCGTGAAGAGGCGCATGACCTCCTTGATGACGCAGTCCAGGTAGTGCAGGCCGCTGAGCGTGTCCAGGCGCAGCGTGCCCTCGCAGGCGCAGCCGCCGCTGTGCAGGATGCCGTGGGCCCGCAGCTCCTCCCGCAGCTTCTCCAGCACGGCCGGGTGCTTCAGCAGCTGCATGATGAGGGACGTGCTGGCGCTGGCGGTGGTGGCGTAGGCGGCAAAGATCAGCTCCAGGGTCCCGTCCTGCCACGCAGAGAGGAGAGGCGCCGTGAGGGATCCCTTCAGCCAGGCAGCCCCAGCCCCGGGGAACCCCACTCTGCCAGGCTCCCCCGAGCCTCAGCGTCATCTAGCTGGGTCCTGCCTGCTTCCTCCAGGCCTCATGTTGCTGGAGCATTCAGGCCCCGATGGACACAGGTCAGAGGGTCCGTGCCCTGATTCAGTAGGAGATACAACTGCTACTGCCCAGGGCAGGGGCACTGGCCTGGCAGTCCCCCAGGGGGGGCCACTCTCACTCACTGCTGGATCCGGGGCCCTGAGCCCCAGCAGCCTGGTCCGTGCAGTGAGCTCACAGGAAAAAGAAAAATCCCCAGGAGCCAGGCACTATTCAGGTGAGTGAGGTGGGGGCTCAGGGTCAAAACCCCAACCTTCCCAGTCCCCAGCTCCTTCCACTACCCCCAGGAGGACATCGGGGACCGGGAGGCAGTCCGAGGCCAGACCCACGAGGACTGGGGAGGGCACAGCAGTGCGAAGGCTGAGGGGCCTCCTCCAGGGTATCCTGGGGAGCAGGACCCCTGGGCCCTGGGTGCCCCATGGAAAGGGCCCAGCAGGTGGCCTCATTCCAAGCCCTGCATTTTACACATGTGGAAGCCAGGCCCAGAGAGGGGCGTGAAGGGGCCTGGGTCCCTTGCTTGCCATGGCTCCACCTATGAAATGGGCAAGCTATTCGGCTCCTTCCTGGCTCACCAGGAGGAAAACTGAAGCTAGAAGGGGGGGAAACGAAAGGGGTGGGCGGAGTCTGCAGCAAGTCTCCACAGCTCCTGGCAAGCGTGTGGGGGGCGGGATCTACAGGAGGTGAACTAATGGGTCCCTTCTCAGGCGGAACACCCCCTAAGAAAGGCGGGCAGGAAGCCCTTCTCGGAGCCCTATGTGGACCGTCTCGGTGCCGGCAGCCCAAGTGGGCTTCATCAGTGCCAAGCAGGCTGGCATCAAAGGCCACCAACCGGAAAAGGCTGGTGGGATGGGAGGAGACACGAGTCAGTTCCAAATCTAAGGACTGGGCTGCCCGCAAGCAGGTGGCTTCCCCGTCTGGGTCCGAGTTCCCCTAGGTGACCTTCCAGGGCTCTTGGGACCATTAAAATGCACTGAAATCGTAGAGACTCGGGGGAGGGGAGGAGGTGGGCAAGCACCACTGACACTGAGTCCCTGCGGAGGGCGCTAAGGACCAGTTTCTCACATCTCTTTCCGATGGTGGCGAGGACTGGGCGGGATGGAGAGAGAGCCTGGGGCCCCGTGTCATGGGGACACTTCACCAGCAGGACTGGGTGCACAGCGGTTTGCGGGCAGAGGAAAGGCAGCCCCGCCCATCGCAGATGCTCCCAGTCCTCCCACCAGACCCTGTGCAGGGCGGGCAGGGACATGGTCTCCCTCCTGCTTTAGCGCCAGCCCAGTGCGGAGATGCCGCAGCAGCTGCTCAGAAACTGTCCCTGTGGGGGCAGAGGGGGCCGGCGCCATCCCCCCCATGGGCACTGGTGCTGCCCGCGGGGAGGCCCCCACCTTCAGCTCCTGCATGGTCATCTCCTTCCCGTGCTCCTTGCTGCTCTCGATGAGGATGTCCAACGCGTCCGAATAGTCCTTGCCCTGCGTGCACTGCAGCTTCTCCCGGATCGCCTTTTCCAGGCCCTTCTGGAGGGTCTGTCGTGCCTGAATGCCCTGGGGGGAAGAGGAGACCATCCTGTCACCCCAAGGGGGAAAGCCAGGGCCACCAAGGGCCTCCTCCAAGGTGGGGGGCTGGGGGGTTCCTATGAGAACGTCCCCTCTCCACAGAGACCACGGTGAAGGCTCCCCCGCCCTCCCACTGGCACCCCCACTGTCCGCGTGACTGGGCGCTCACCCGCCGGTAGCCGCTGAAGGGCAAGTCGACGGGCAGGGAGAAGACGTTCTCCACAAACTGCTGGTAGACCTCGAAGAGGTGGCCGAGGTCCTCTTCGGGGATGCTGAAGCCCAGGAGGACGCGGATGGCCATGCGGAAGGTGAGCTTCTGGGCCTCCTGGTACACGTTGATGGCCTCGGGGTGGCTGCTCCAGGCGCGCAGCGTGTCCTGGATCACCAGCTGGATCTTGGGCAGGTAGCTCTCCAGAGCCTCGTGGCTGAAGATCTTGGAGAACACCTGGAGGGAGAGAGGTGGGCGGCACCCGGTCAGCTGGGCTCGGGCTGCCTTCGAGGCTCCCGGGGGCCTGGCTGAGGCACAGGTCCCCTGGCTGTGACTGGGGAAACTCCAGGTCCTCACCCTGGCCACGCTCCACCTTCTGTCTCCTGGACACAGTGCCCTCCCTGGCTCCCCTAGCCCAGTGGTCGGTAAATTCATTAGTCAACAGAGCCAAATATCAACAGTACAACGATTGAAATTTCTTTTGAGAGCCAAATTTTTTAAACTTACACTATATAGGTAGGTACATTGTTATTAACTTAATTAGAGTACTCCTAAGGCTTAGGAAGAGCCACACTCAAGGAGCCAAAGAGCCGCATGTGGCTCGCAGTTTGCTGACCAGGGCCCTAGCCTGACGGGCCTGTGTCTTGATGGCGGGCGGCGGGGGCAGGACGGGATGAAAACATCATTCATCAGAATTTTTACTCGGAGACCTTCCACATCACTCCCAGGGTGACCTGCGCGCTCATCTTCTGTCTGGAGCTCAGAAAAGCTTGTGCTCCAAACAACGGCAAAGCTCTGGGGGCTGGGCAGCCCAACTGCCCACAGGTCTGTGGTTGATGCGGCCGTCCCAGCCACGGGGGCAACACAGAGAGGTCTGGGCAGGGCTGGAGGGGAGGCAGTGGCCCACTCCCGAATCCCCAGGCCACAGGGCAGAAGTGCCCAGGAGAGGAACAAAGGTGAGCAGAATGGGCGAGGACAAGGTGGCTCTTCTGCTCCACTGACGGGAGAACAAGAGAGTCTGAGGCTAGACTGCAAGTAGGACTTCCTGAGGACCAAATTTGCTCTCACTCCCTGGGAACCATGTACAAGGTGGAGATCCTAGAGCAGCGGTTCTCAACCTGTGGGTTGCGACCCCTTTGGGGGTCAAACGACCCTTCACAGGGGTCGCCTAAGACCATCGGAAAACACTTATATAATTACATATTGTTTTTGTGATTAATCATTATGCTTTAATTATGTTCAATTTGTAACAATGAAAATACATCCTGCATATCAGATATTTACTAGCAAAATTACAGTTATGAAGTAGCAACGAAAATAATTTTATGGTTGGGGGTCACCACAACATGAGGAACTGTATTAAAGGGTCTCGGCATTAGGAAGGTTGAGAACCACTGTCCTAGAGGGTCTGTTAACAGCTGGGCCATCAAAAAGGTTTCAGTGTGACCAGGTTTGGAGGCAAGGGGGTGGGGGCTAGGCTTTCCACCCCAAAAGATCACAAAGGCTAACAGAAGCCCTTTTTCATTCCTGGCATCTTCCTGGTCCGTGTTAAGTAGCCAATGAGACCCTGTTGCCACCCCCCCTGCTTTCAGTCCTCCCGATTCCTCAGCAACCCCTCCTGCCCCTCCTCACCAGATGCCCCTGCTGCTGCCAAGGTGTATACGAGAGGGGAGAGAGGGGAGGATGTTAGTTTATTTACTGATGGCCTGTGGGTCTCACTTGTAACCGACACCCTCTACCCACCCCCCCACCCAGAGTCTGGAGCAGAAGGGGGGTGCCCTCCCGCCAGCACCAAGGGGAAGGTCATGGGGAAAGGAGGGGGAGGGGCAGCTCAGGGGAAGGAGGCAAATATTCCTCCAGCCCCCCCACCCTGCCCCATGCAAACCACACACACGCGCCCGCCCTCCCCTCCTGCCCCCCAAACACAACCACCGCACAAACTGTAAATGTGAGAATTTCCCCTGCAGTCAGCTCGAGGAGGAAAAGGTAACATTTTCCTGGCCTCGGCCCTGCATGGCTAATGGGAGGGCTGGTTTGCAGAAATAACAGTGCTGGCCCTTCAGTGGCCCAGCCAGGCGTTCACAATAGCACTTTCATTCCGAAATTCCCGGTGGGCAGAGGGAGGGAGGGAAGGAGGGAGGGAGGCCGCTGGTGAGGGGCAGAGAAGCCGCACTGTTTGGGGCTGCTCCTGCTAGGAAGGGACAGCTGAAAGGCAGAAGGGCGATGGGAGGTGGGCAAGGGCAACCCAGGCCAGGACAGGTCACACACACCTTGTCCAGTGGGGGGTCCCAGGAATTCCCAGGGGGACTTCGGCTGCCAGCTCCCTTCACAGGGTTATGGATAAAGGCAGTGTTCTCTGTCTCGGCCTTCCACCCTGGCCTCCTTAGGATTCTAGGTTCAGCTCTTGGTCAAAAATCTTATGGGCTGGGAGTGGGGGCCCTGTCCCCAGACCCCAAGCTGGCCAACTAAGGGGCCTTACAGAAGCGCAAGGAGCCCACAGGGTGAGCAGAGAGGGGCACGTGGAGCTGAGCGGGCTCACTGGGAAAGTAGAAAGATAACTGTGGCCACCAGGCATCAGGGGAGGAGCAGGGGGGAGGCTGGAGGTGGGGACAAGCAAGGACAAAGAAGCCACACCTGGCCCAGAGTCGGCCAGCCCGGGGCCCCCTGAGGGGTGCTGACATGGAAAGCATGGAGGCAGGGGCTGGCCAGGCCCCAGTGCGAGGGAGACCTGGGCTCCAAGGTGGGCATGTAGAGGGGCAGTAGGGCAGGGGCCACACTGACCAGAACGGCAAAGTCAATGCCAGCTGGGCCCTAAGGGGCAGTGGGTGGCGGGAAAAGGCAGGCTGGGTGCCCAGAGGCCTGATTTTAACCCCAGATCATCCACCAACTTGCTGTGCGATCATGGCCAAGTCACCCCCCAGGCTCAGCGTCCTCACCTATAAAATGGCGAGGTTGAGCCTGGTGATCCCTTTTTTCCTTTCAATGTACACAGCACATAAACCCCAGGAGCCATATGTCCCTAAGCAGATGCTATCCCCTCCAAGAAGCCCAGAATCTGGCACTGCACGAGTCCCCCGGTGCCTGCCAGGCCCCCACTCGCACACCCTACAAGGACTACGGTGGCCCAGGAGGGGCCATCTCGGGGTTACCAAAAGGGGAGCTCTCAGGGCCCCAGTGCAACCTTAGGAGTAGCCAGGCTGGACCCACCGGCAAGCCCTGCCCTGCCCCAAAGGTTACATTCCCTGCGCCCTCTAGCGATGGCCGACTGAATAGCGCCTTCTCAGCCTTGGGGAGGGCAGGGAGGACTCCAGGAGACCTGGGACTGAGCCGAGGGACTGAAAGGGCCAATGGTCCACACCTCAGGAAGCCCACAAACACCTTGAACTTGCAGTCCCCCACCCCCACCCCAGGCTGGGCTTCCAGAAAGAGAACTGCAGCCAGGAGCAAGGCTCTTATCTTGACCCAACAAGAAATCTAACTTCTGGAGTCTCCTTTTCACCTGGATGTGCCAGGGCTCTCCTCAGAGCCCCCTGAGGTGGAGAAACTACCCGAATGAGAAGCCACGCAAAGGCAGTTTCGGGCACTCCGGGACCAAGGGGCTTTGCTTGCGAGTCGCCCAGGCCAGGCGCCTGCCTCTGGCCGGCTGTTCCATAGGCACTGGGCCTCCCAGGCCCCAGGAAAACTCCAGGGCCTCATCCCTGGGTCTGTGCCCAGGGTTAACAACGGGGCACTTCCCGCAGCAGGGGCAGCCCCCACCACACAGGCCAGGAGGAGGCGGAGGTGCTGGCCAGGGCAGAGGGAGGCTGCAGTGGGGCGGGCGGGGTCAGGACTCGGGCATGTGGGAAGGTGCCCAGTGGAGCCGCTCAGTGTGAAGAAAGGAAGGGCTCCCGGCCCCCAGAGCCGCCTTCCCTGACCACAACAGTAACAGCAGCCAGGGCGGCTTTGTCCCCCTCTGGGCTTCCCTTGGAATTCCCAACAGTGAGCCAAGAACGCTGGACAAAGGTCATCGGGAACCAGGCCTGGCCCCGGCAAAGCCCCGCAGAGGGAGCAGCAGGTATGGACTCTCTACCAGGGTTAAAGCCAGGGAGGGCCAGGGCAGAGGGTCGGGGAGACCTGGGAACGCTCAGCCATGGGCTGGGCAGGCGGGGCTCCTGCCTTTAGGATGTGCTTGGAAACCTGCCCCTGCCCATGTTGGTTCCCCCAACAACACTGCGGCTCAGGAGTCCACATCCCTGGTTCTCCTTCTCCCCTGGAGGAGAGATGATGCCACAATGAGGTGGGGAGGGGAGGGAGGGGGGACCACCAAGGGGCTTGTCAAAGCTCAAATTCCCTATAATTGATTTTACAAATCCTTCCTCCTCCCCGCTCCCGCCTCTCACCCGGTGCCCCTGGGAGGGGAGTCACTCAGTGAACCCCCAGGGCCCTGCATACTGCTATGCCCAGCCAGATAACCTCCCCCTTCTCTGCTGGCCGCTACGGATGGACAGACAGATTGAGATGGATGGGCAGCCTCCAGAGCTGGAAGAGCCAGAGAGGGATCCCACTCCCTGGGCCAGTGACTCAGACTGGGAGGAATGGAAGCGGCTGCCCAGGAGGGTGGGGGCCAAGGCAGGCCACCCCGCCAAGCCACCGGAGCCGTGGCCTTAGGAGTGGAAAGAATAACAGAGGGCACGCAGCCACCGGGGCAGCTGTCCGCACAGCACAGGGGTGACGCCAAGGTGTGTACTTTATACTCGAGCAAGAGGGAGGACAAGAGAGGACGTCATCTTCCCAGCCGCCTGGCATTTCCACTGGGCCTGGACGGCACCCTGGCTGCCTCCTGCGCCAGCCCCTACTCAGCCCCGCTGGTTGGGAGGGGCTGGCCCAGACCTCCTAGCCTGTGCGTGTCCCTCTGGGCTCCCAGTATCTGTAGAAACAGTGTACCTGTCCCCTATCTGCCTCCAGCTCTGATCACCTCCCCTCACTCTCCCACACACCACAAGAGCACCCAGTGCGGGAGAGGAGGACAGCACTTGGCAGAGCCACAGACACTGACAAGGTCTGCCCACCCATTCCTCTTCCAGCCATAGTGAACCCCCCCGCCCCCGAAAGCTGAGGCCCAAAGGGGAAGGGCCTCCCAAGGTCACGTCTAGGGCATGATTGGCCACACCCACCAGGGTCCCTGAACCCCCTGCCTGGCACCATTCCTAGCCCCATCAGGCCCTCTACTCAACCCCAAGGCTCTGACAGAGCCCTGAGGGGGACCCCCCTCTCTGGCCCAAGTTTATTCTAAGGGCAAGGCCAGCTGTCCGGGCTACTCTGTTTTGCTCTCAGTATTTCTCAGCCCCTGGAGACACGGTCCCAATCCCTGCCCTTCTGCCTGGGAACCTGGAATGGATACATCAGTGGCAAAAGGGGCTCAGGGTTAAGCACCCACCCCCTCCCCACCAAGGCCACACTTGTCTCCCAAGGCTGAAGAGTGAACAAGCACATCAGCATCGCAGGCACAGACCCCTCCCCATCCTGGGAGGAGGACACAGAACAGAGGGAAAAGGGAGGGGGTGGCCCCCAGCCCCAGCCAACCCACCCTCCCACTGTTTGGCACAAGGGCACGGAGAGGGAGGCACGGCTCCCAGGCGCCCTGGAGGCTGGCTGTGGGCTCCTCCCCCACTGACCTTCAGAGACATCCGTTCCTGCCACCTGCCCCCTCCATGGCCCCTGTGCCCACCAGCTGGTGCTACAGTGACTTTTGGGTGAAGGACTTCAGCTGGTGGGACAAAGGTCTATGCCAGGAGGCCCTCCCAATAATAGAGGTGCCCGGCTATGCATGCCTCCCTCCTTCCCATTCAAAGCAGGTGGGAACTTCTGCTCTGAGCTGAGCCTCCTGGAAATGACTTCAAAGTCACTGGTCCAAAGGCCACCTAGAGATAGGCCTGGCTGGCCTCCCCCCAGGACCCTGCAACCACGGCCCTCCTGGCTCTGCCTGCCTGCGGAAGCACCTCCTGGCTGCTCCACCCCCACAGAAATGCACAGGGTTTCTGAGAGGAGTACAGCGACCCTGAGCCTAAGCTCCACCCCCGCCCAGGATGGGGCCTAAAGGGTTAGTGAGAGTCCCTCCCTCCAAAGCCTGGGGAGCCCTTGCCCCGCCTCAGCCTCTGCCACAGAAGTCCTTGTAGCCAGGGATTGGGAAGGAGAGGCAAGAAGACTACTCCTGGGTCTCCCCAGTCCAGGGGTCCCAGGCCAAGTGCACCTCTAAGCTCTGGGAAGACCACTGTCTGAGGTGCCCGGAAGCTCCTGGCCCCTTGGTGCAGAGACCCAGCCCTATCTCTGGAAGAGGAAATGTCTGACCATTCCACCCCCGCCCCCAATCATTCCTACCAGACTTGGCCCACCCTTCCGGGACAAACCCCAGCCTCTCTGCACACAAAAAGAAGGGGGGGGGGCGCCTCTTCCATCCATCAGGGGCACTCCAGGTGGGGGAAGTGTAGCAGAGGAGGAGGGACAGAGTTTGGTGGTGGCTGTAGGGACACAGGCCCGGCTTTCAGAGAGGACTATTTCAGACTGGGAAAGACTTTTCGAACTTTCTCCCTGGCAACCCCTCCTCTCTTGGCCCTAGACAACCAGGGCAGCCGGGGCTAACACCTGGATTCGGTGATGGCCGTGAGGAGTCCCTTCCCAGAACATCTGGTCAGACCTCCCAGAGAAGGAGTGGGTCACCGGCCCCAGTGGAAACAGTGACGCTCCTAGTTACCCCGCCAGCTGGGCCCCAGCACACCTGGGCCTCACTTCCTGCGAATGCATCCTAACCAGGCCTGGGCCTGGCCCAGCAGCCCCCTCTCCAGGCACGTCCCTGACTGCAGCGTGAACTGGAGAAGGCAGTGAGTGGCACCCGGCAGCCCCCGCCCTGGCTGCACTGGGTCCACTGGGTGTTGGGTCCAGCAGATTGGCCATTCTCTCCAGGACCAACATGTGCCCCTGAGTATCCTCCTCTCATCCCTCCAGCTACACTCTGCTTTTTGCGGGCAAGGACCAGGTTTCCTGCTTTATATCTGTATCTAACCCAAGGCCTTCTATTTAGTTCAGGAACACCAAATAGAGAGATTATCCATGCACTTACTGTAGGGCCATGTGTACACAGGTCACACAGCAAGAACACAATCAGTACACACTAAGGGAGGGCCCTGCATTGGTTCCCAAGCCTGTGTCACCCCATGAAGGATGAACTTCATTATGGCTGCTCCCCATGCCCAGGGAGCTAGAGGGCAAGGCAAGTGTATGCCCCGTGTAGGCCCCATAGGAGTCCTCAGTTTTTGCTCCCAGCCCTGTCCCACCACAGCCCTCTCTCCCCCTTCCCTGTGTATTCCTCTGACATTGGTCATCTACGCCATCTCGCTCCTCCTCCACTCCTCCCAAATCAACAGCAGGAGCCCAAAACCTTGGGGCTTTCCAGGCAGGCCCTCCCCACCTGGAGGCCCAAGGCCAAGTCAGGCAGAGGGTGGCTGGTTCCACAAGGCAACAGCCTCACCCAGAAGCTCACCCAGGGGCTCACACTCAGGTCTTGACCAAGCCTTCTTCCTCCCAGGATCCCTTCCCATCCCCACCCTCCAGCGTCTGCAGGACTGAGTAGGGCTCCTCTTGATAGCCCGGAAGGAAACACCTCTTCCCATGGAGGGATGTTCAGGACTCCACCTGCCTTTGCTATGTCTCCTGGACTGAAGTCTCTCAAACTCTCCGAGTCTCAGTGTTCCCCCCTGCAAAGGGGAAAATAATTACTTTCTTGTCAAAGACTCTATAAAGATAAAAGGAGAAGCAATCGAGTTCTTTGGAGCTGGGTTTCTGAGCCTCAGCCTCCCTCCACAGTCTTCGGGATGAGCTTTTGGTGGAGCCACAAACACTAAGGAAGAAAAAGTGTCCAAGATATTTGAAAAGCCCCCATTCCTGAGCCTACAGCCCCCTCCCAGCCGCTTCCCAGAACACCCCCCTCCAATGTGACCAGGGCCCGGTTAGCGGCTTCCTGCTCCAGGGAGGCCATGAGAGAGAAGACTTCGGGAGTCCCTTTCCTGTCCTGAAATACATGTTTTATGGGAGGGGGGGCGTTGGTGGTGAGCGCTGACCAGCCCAGTCCACGCGGGTTTTCCTCCTGTGGTCTGCTACGGAGAACTACTCTTCACAGGCCTTTCCGAAGACATCAAATACTATAAGACGAATTCCTACATTCCCTGAGACCACCTCACACGCAGACTTCCGGCCGAGGGGGGCTGCCCACAGTCGCCTCCTCCCCTCTCCTGGGCTCTGCCACTCTACGCAGAGATCAGAGGCTGCCTGTTGGTTTCCTTCAGGTTTCAAACCTGAGTACTCTGACCCAATGGGGAAAAAAAAAAGGAAGGAGGAGAGGTCCTGCAGTCTCCCCCACCCGCTTCTGCACGCCCTAAGCCCGCAAGCCCGCTCCCCGCCCGCCGCCGGCGGCTCAGCTTTCGGGTTACTGCAGTTCAAACAGCACGTGCCGCCCGCGCTCCGAGCCGCGGCTGCTGCAGCGGCGGCGGTTCAGCCCCGGGAGGGGGCGGGGAGGCTCGCTCGCGGCACGCTGGCTCTCCTCCTTCGCGCCTCTTGCAGGCGCTCGGGAAATCCACAGGATAAACACCCACTTTCTCTTCCCCTTTATGGGAGGGGGTAGGTGCGCTTTGATCCCCCGCCGCGCCTCCGCTGCTCTCCCATCCCCTCGTCCTGCCCCCACTGTCCAGACCCGCGCGCGTCGTGGCCCCAATTTCACCTCGCCGCTCCCAGACAGAGCCCTGGAACCGCTGCGCACCAGGTGCCCCCAGCCCCCGCGCCTGCTGGCGTCTCCATGAAAGCAACCTGTGGCAGGCAGGCTAGGTTTGATTTTAGAATGACCCGTCGGAATTCACGGGGGAACCATGGCAAGAAGGGGAGACCCAGCCATCGTCTACCCCTGTCTTCTTCCAGTTTTGAGGAGCACGGTGAGGATTGGCGTTAGAGGCCTCAATCCCCTCACGTCCAAGCTCTGTCCAAACCACCCCTCCAAAAGCCACCCGCTGGACCGACAGCGGGCCAGCAAGAGGGCCGACCCGGCGGAGGCCTGTGCAGGCCCTCGCTCCGCATCGCAGCAGGGAACCCCCAGGAGGGTGGGCCAGCCGGGCACAGATGCGGTGGAGATGTCCCCAGGGCTCGGGGAACGCCTTACCCCAGGAGGGGTGCGCGGGAGAAGAGGGTCAAGCAGGGCTGCAGGGCTCTTACCTTGCGCTTGTTGCGGTGGATGTCGCCAATGGAGTTGGCCACCGTGTTCGGGCCCAGAAGCATGCGCGTGCTGCGCGGCCACTCGGTGCTCACCAGGTGGTGCTCCCCCATCAGGATCTTGCGCACGTTCTCCGCGCCCGTCACGCGGATCAGCGGCCGCCCCAGCAAGTGCGTCTTGAACACGTTGCCGTACTTCTCCCTCCGCGAGGACTGGAAGCCGGAACCCTGCGGGAGCCACCATGGAGACCTCACTGAGGGCGCGCTTCTCCGGAGGAGGCGCACCAGAGGCCCAGCTTCCAGGGCCCGCGGGGTGGGGGTGGGGGCGGGGTGGGGGGCCACCATTCAAGGCACCAGTACCCTGACCTTCCCCGCCCCCCCCCCCCGCAATACACAGCACGCGCGTAGGTTTTATTTTTCATAGCAAGCTCAGGAACTGGGAAGTAGGGCCCAGAGGATAATAAATAACGCGAGGAGGCGGGAGGCCCAGGGGCACCCCGCGAAAGCTGTTTTTCACTAACGACTGTCGGGAGGGAAAAGGTATCCCGGACGGCAGCACCCGAAGCTCGAGCCGCCGTCACCCTTCCTACCACCCCCAGCTCCTCCGCCTCCTCGTGGAATAAATATTTCCAGGCGCCCGGCCACGGGCTGGCGAGACCCCGCGGAGTGGCCGCAGGCCAAAGATTATTTATAGCGGCGAGCGGTCCGTGCCCCGAGGCCGTCTCCGCCGCGGGGGGCGGGATTTCCTCGGCTCTCGGGTGTGGACCGCGAGGGGACCCGGTGGCCCTTTGCGGGCTCTGCGGGGTCTGTGCGCGATCCGAGAGCCGAGATGTCCCTGATGCCATGTGCCCTGGAAATAACTGCAAAGGGCTTTCGTCGCCGCCCTGTAGTTGGGAACGGGAGCGGGAGGAAGGCGCGTCCCGCGGGGCGGGGCGGGGCGGGCGGCCCGCGCAGGTAATTGGATCCCCCGCAGCGGCCGCGGTGGCGCTGGCGGAAGAGAGCCAGGCCCGAGCCCCGCCGCACTCGGAGGAGCCGGTGGGGCCGGCCCCCGGAGGGTACCGGAAACCAAGGGGACCTCCGAGAGGCGGGGGCGGGGGCGTCCCGCTCACCTTTGACGTAGGCACTGGCTACCCCACCCCACATTAACCCCTCTCCTGCCCGGGCCGCGCTGGGCGACCAGGGGAGGGGCGCCACCTGTCCCGCAGCCCGGCCTGCCAGCCCACCACAGCGAGATGCGGGCTGCAGGCTCCCGGGGCAGGCTCGCCCGAAGGGACCACTTGGCTCCCCCTGTTCCCGGGTGGGTCCCCCCTGCTCCCTTTCCTCTCTTCCACGGAAAAGTGTTCTCCAGCTAGAGGTGCACACACCCCAGCACCGCCGAAAAGTGACTCTGCAGAACCCGGAGCCCTAATCACTTTCCACATGC